TGATGATAAAGCGTGATTTTTTATTTCTTGATATTGATCAGATTGACTCGGAGCAATTTGAAAAGGTTCTCAAGTATATAAAATCGGGGGTCGACAGCAATGCCACCCTGGAATGTGGAGGCGAAAAGATTGGAGATAAAGGCTACTTTATACAGCCCACCGTTTTTTCGAATGTTAAGGTACTCCCTCGCGAGATTCCCTTGCTTCGTATAATAATGTTCGGACTCATAATGTATGATAAACCTGTTTAGGATGATATGCTGATAGCAAAGGAGGAAATATTCGGCCCAGTGCAGAGCATCTTGAAGTTCAAGTAAGTTCAGTATATTTGAGCTGAAACAAAAAAGTGAATAACAAAGAGATTATAATGAATAAAATTAATCTCTCTCACTTAATTAGGGAGATTGATGAAGTGATTAAACGAGCGAATGCTACAAGATACGGGCTTGCGGCTGGTGTTTTCACGAAGAACATCAACACGGCCAACACGATTACGAGAGGGTTGAAGGCAGGGACAGTTTGGGTAAATTGCTATGATGTTTTTGATGCTGGAATCCCGTTTGGCGGTTATAAAATGAGCGGTATCGGGCGCGAAAAGGGAATCTACAGCCTCAAAAACTATTTGCAGGTCAAAGCTGTTGTGACCCCTCTAGAGAATCCAGCTTGGTTGTAATTAGTATTATGTGTGTTATGTGTGTGTGTGTATGTGTGTGTGTTTATGAGTATGATATGTGATTTGTCAAGATGATGAATTGAGTGTTTTCAAAATAAAGAGCTTTGAAATGAATTTGTGATGTGATTTTCAGTTGCATGTATGCTGTTTTTAATTTTGTTGGGTTGGGTACATGAATTCTTCTTGAGCTGGATTTGATGTTGGATTATGGTACATGTTAATATTTGTTGGGTGGTTTGCAGCCCAATTTTATCGACCCGTTTAGGGAAGTGGGCCAAGAAATTGGTTGGCCCAGTTGTGTGGGGTGCTTGAAGTTAAGAGTGATATTCGAGTTGAGCTGAGTAGCTCATGTTCGTGATCGTGCATGTTTAGAAATGAATAAAAGCTTGAGTCATTTAAGCTTGTGAAAGATCTTGTTTAGTAAATCTAAAATCGTAAACGAGTCGTTCACTAACACGAAACATTAGTTCACAAATAAGTTGTTTGAGAACAAATTCGTTTCTACAGTCCAAGATTGAGCTTTAAGCCCTGATTGTTTATAAGACAATTGGTCACTTTCGATCACATTTTTTTTTAAACTCAAAATCTAACTCAAATTTATCTCAACTCAACCCTCCTCAATATTATCAATATAATTAAATAATACCGATCAATCATTCTCTCATATCACAACAATCTTAATTTATTATTTATTCATCCAAACAATTTTAACTACCCTTAGTTCCAATTACACCCCTCTTACTTTTTTTAAATCAAATCAACTTTAAAAGTTATATTTTAAATACTATTTTAATAAAAACTCAAAATCACACTCAAACTTAATCCAATCTACTTTTCTCAAAATGAATTCTAATTAACCAACAAATCCAATCAAAAGCAAAATAACTTATATTCAGTCACCTCTTAGGA